TATATATATATATGAATTCTTATTAATAGTGTATATGAGAATCTCATACATTTCTATATTAATGGGGTTATTAATAATATTGTAGGATGAATGCAATCAGAATGTTATTTATGTTATATATTAATAAGTTATTTTATTATTTTTTTTTAAATAGTGTATTTGTGTTTATCATTATTGCCCTAAAATAAATAAGAACTAGTGTTATGTAATATATATGATTACTACTATGTGTTACTTTGCATTGTAATTAAATATAATATGATTCCCTATTATTTTAACACTAATTATATAAGAGCAATATTAATCATTCAACACACATTGTATATCTATTTTTTATTATATCTATATGTATATTATTAAATTGCATTACATTATATAAATCAGTTGCAACAAAGCATAATATTATATAAGATGTTGGAGAACATAGTATTTCTAAATTATTATATGAATAATTATAAAATTATAATACTTGTATGATTCATTTTATATAAATTTTATATAAAATTGTATAATAGTATATGATCTTTCCTTTTCTTTTCTTTTATTTTTTCTTATTAGCATGATATTATAAAATATTTTCCTGAATGTAGCAGGAAAATAGAAGAAAAAGTACATAAATTTGAAACAGAAGAGCACGATAATTACTTAGGTTTGACAAAACAGTGTCATCTATATGCTGATAGGGATAAATTGAGAGATGTAAGCTTTGATGTCCGTGGACCTAAAGACATATGCGTACAAGCTATGGAATATTTAGTTGATGTTAATACTGCAACATCTGGAAGCTTACATGAAGCAGGTTGTGCATACTTTTACTACTGGATATATGATGTCCTTAAAAATGGCATAAAAGAAATTAGTGACATCCAAGATATTTATGATCAATTGATAGAGATATTTATGAAAGAAAAAAATATACCAATAATTAATCTATGTGAATCCAATAAAAATCCCATTAAAAATGATGATTTTCATAAAATCGTATTAATATATGATCTATATAATTCAATATATAAAAACGATAAGGTACTACCTAAAGAGGCTGTTTTTGAAGAAGCACTAAAAATACTGAAGCGATATTATGAAGAATTAGTAAGTAAGCCTAGGGAAATTATTGAAATTGTAAAAGAAGCTTCTTGTAAAAATAATAGCGCAGTTACAATAGTAATTACATTTTTTGTAACTATCATGGTATTTCTTTCTTTATTTATTTTGTATAAGGTTAATTATTCTATTATTTAAAATATTTAGAATATTTATTAATTCTTTATTAACTTACGTTAAACATTATTAAAAATACATATATATAATATAAATATCCCTTTTTTTTGAATTAGTTTACGATATTCGGTTCGTGGTGGCACAATATAATAAATAAAAAAATAAATCGATGGAATAATACAAATGAAGAATGGAATACCTATCAAAGATCTGAAATATACAGCACTATATCAAGAGACACTGGACATAATATGTTATACTTTTCCCCATAATTTTACTATTTAATTTATAATACTGTAAGTGTATTTGTTTTAAAGGAAGAACAAAAAGGATTAAGAAACATAGAAAAAATTTTATTTAAGAGCATTATAAAAAATATTACATATTCCACATGATAAAATAATAATTTATATAAATTTATCAATTAAATTAGGTAACATAGATAAAATTATAGTGACACTAAATGAAACTGTTCGACAATATTATAAAGAGTAAAAATAAAATGCTTTAATATAGTGATGTCTTCATGCAAAAATAATGAATGAAATCATTGTTACTATGTTATAAAATAATATTTTTTATATAAAAAATAATATAATACCTAGATTAATATTGATATGCATATATAAAAGATAAATTATTGTTATCATTGTAAATAAATATATAAAATATATGTATTCCATCATGTCATTTTATTATATAACAATAAAGAAAAATATATGTATAATTAATGTATATATAAAAGTGTTTTGTGATTCTTATAATATGAATTCACTCTAAAAATATATATATATAATAATTATACATATTCATATAACTGAGCATGAAATTATTAGTATAAGTAAACAAATTATGTCATATATTTTTATTTGTTATATTTTTCTTAGATTTAGTTCAATTATTTGTTTTATTGCAACTCATTTTTCCTATGATATAATATTAATGTAAATGATTATTTAAATTTCATATTATCTTTAAAAAAGCTCATACATGTATCCATATTTTATTGAAAACCATGAAAAAAGCATTAGTATTTTTTAAAACTTTTAATGGAATTCAAAATTATTATATTATATGTATAAAATCACATTTTATAATTTTTAATAAATAGTTCTCGAAGTATAACAATGATATTTACACTAAAAAAATAAGCATTACTTCAAATATAAGAAATAATAGAGGAAAAATGTATACAATTTATATACAAGAAAAGGAACTGTATAAAAATAAATATCAGTAAGGAAATAAAATCTAATAATTCCTTTTACACAATAATATATAATAGCAGAATAATTATATGTAATAACATATATTGTGGTATATAAAAAATTTGAATAAACCACTATTACACGAATTATGTGTAAAACTGAGGGAAAAAAATATTTTTTCATTAAAGTATGCTTTGAATGTATATCTTGTTAAACAAATATTCATTGCTATTCATATATATAAAATTATCAATTTTAATATAAATAACATTATTTGGTGTTTAGATTATTATATAAATATAATAATATTATTATATAACTAAAAATAATATATATTTTTTATTGATATGTAGTAATAAAAAAATTCTAATTATAGGTAATTTTATAAATTTTACGATTAATTTAACCTTATACTCATACTTATTTACAAATTATCTATGTTCTTTTTAGTAATAATATTTTCATATTTTTCATTTTGTTTATCTACGCTATTATTCAAATTAATAAAAAATATTAATGTTTACCATTTACCCATAATGATAATATTTTTTATACTTATTTCATTTTAATCAGGGCTTATGACTGCTAGATTCAATGCGTAATTACAATCTGTTTATTTTCTATGTTTTATCATTCTAACAAATTATTCTAAACGGAACTATATGTACTTAGATTATTCTCATAGAAGACAATATATATAAGAATAAAATATAGAATGCATATAATTTTCTAATTTTTTTCTATATTTAATGTATAATGTAATTGCTGTCACATGATTTTTTTACATAATTATATATTTTCAGTTTTTACCATTAACATTTCCCGTAATTATCCTTTTAGAGTAATAATATTCTCTATGTATTAAAATGTATATATTTGTTTATTATAATTATTTAAGGCATGCATATATTCCTACCTTTTTTAGGTTTATATATGTGTATAACTAATTACTTTGCATTTAAACATAGTTCATAAGTTGACATGTTATATTTTTACATAGATATTTTAAGGTTATCCAGATATATACGTTATGTTATACTTCTTTACATCACAATTTGCAATATACGTTTGAGATTTGCACTTTATATATTCGAATCCTTTGTCGTTCATAATCATTGTCTTTCTTATTTTTCTTTTGACAAGAAGGAGAAAACATCTCCAATATTCTCTAAACTAATAATAGCGTTATATTATAATGAAGTCATATGAGTTCTAACATTATGAAATAATTTTTTGTATATATATAATATAAAAATAATCATACAATATTATTATTTTTAAATTTAATTCTTATTAACCTTATAGATATATAAAAGTTATGCTCCAAAAGCTACACTAAGAAGAATTGTTGTTATTCTTACGTTCTTATTCCTATTATAAGTATAATAAGTCATAACATAATCTCCTTCAATATGACACAATTTATCTGGTGTGTCTCCTGATTGAATTAGTTTAATGCATCTTTCTCTATTACCTGTGTGCATAATATTACCAGCTATGTTTACAAATTCATTACTTCATTCGTTATTCCACAACGAATCATTACTTTTCATTAGGAATCTCATATAATTTAAATAATTTTTAATAAAAAATATCTTCATTTAATTAAATGAAATTTAAGGCATCATTATATTCCTCAACAAAACTTTCATAATATTCACATAAATCTGGTTGACCAATTTTATGTGCGCTATAATAAACTGTAATCAAATATTCATCATATACATTATATAGTATATTCATTTTCTCATATATTTTTCCATTAACATCTTCCATTTTTCCAGGACATTTCATATTTTCTGCATGAGAATTATACTTATTAGCACTATCCTTTAAATAAGCAAACATTGATTTAGTATTTGCAACATTGGTTTTTTTACCATATTTTTTTCCTGCATTTAATATAAATGCAACATTTATTGTTATTACATGAATTATTCTTATTAATATACTCAAAATATCCTTTTTCCCCTTTCATTTATTAATAATAATATCTTTATTTACATTTATATTTGTTTGGGATTGCAGGAATATTTGAATAACTTCTATGATAACAGGATTTTCTTAAAGTCTCATGAAAATATTTTTATAAGTCAAATAACCTTCGTATTTGTAATACTAACAACAAACACATAAATAATAAAAATTCAAATAATAATGTAAACATTAAATAAGTAATATTGTTCATAAATTGTTAAAAGAATTCATGCAAATAATAAGATATTATTTAGTAACATAGAACGATATGCAAGTTACCATGTCTTTAGATACAGTATCTATTATTGTACGAATTAAAAAAAAGAACTTGTTTAATGTTAATATTATTTTAATTATAAATATGAAAACTGAGATAGAACTAAATATTTTTTATATCATATGAATTTTTATTACTAATTTTAATATTTAATCATGTATTATATTAGAAATTGCACTTATATTAATGTATATTTCTATAATATAATTTGTTGCTTAGAAATCATAAATCAAGGAATTTTAAGCACGAACAGAGATTGATGTATTAATATATAGTTTAAACTAATATATAGTTAAAATAGAAACAATTAATTATTACTAATATAAATATTTGATAGATTTATTAGTACTTTACATATTGAAATATATTGTCTTTTTACACATATTACATACACAAGAACTAACTTATATTATGTTAAATGTATGGGTTCTTTGAATAAGAATTATTTAGACAATGATACGTAATGTTTTATATAATAGTATGTATTTCAATAACATTTGAACAAATAACTTATTAAAAATTTATGGGTAAGTACTTTCAAATTAAAAATATTACTCCTTTTTCAAGTCTCCTGTATTCTATAAAAAATATTTTAATTGAAAAATATCATTATATTAAAAAAGAAAATATTTATGTAAACAAAAAAAAAATAGCATAAATAAAATTATTTGTATACTCTGAGGTTTATTCTATTATTGGAATATTAATTAATATAAAAGATAACTAAAATTAATGTTAGTATATAGTGTAATATATTAGACATTAAAATAAATGGTTTTCCGAAATGGCGAATTGCGTATTTTGTTGAAAGTGATATATTATATTTATCAATACAACAATTTTAATCTGCAGAAGATTGTATTATTTAGATATATATAAAATTAAAGGAAAACAAATAAGACATTACTTAATATAAAAAAAAATAATGTATCAAATATTATAATGAAATCTATTGTCCTATTTTTGAAAATAATCATATATATTTGCTATTTGTGAAGTAATTTATGTTATATAATAATGAAATTACTTAATATATATAATACAGATATACATGAATTATAATATTTGTAAAAATTATTTAGCATTATTTAAATTCTAATGTGTATGTATAATAAATTCCATATAAAACTTCTAGTAATGAGCATGCATATGTACCATATATACATATATTTTTTTAATTGCATTATAAATAGTGACTGTGTTATTATTAATGCAATATATTAATTAGAATATTTTATATACTATAATTTGCAAAAATATTTTACACATATTAATTTAGTAAAATATTATGTTTATATATTTCCATATTAATTGATCATTTATTTTTCCTGATGTAAATATTTTATGATATAAGATTTATGAAATAGTCAATTTTATGATTATATTAAATTAAATGAATTATTAATTCTAAAACATATTAGAGTTCTATTATTATTTATATACTCATAATATGTGTATATTTATTTTCATCATTAGAATTTTTTTTCTTATATATATAATACATTTATTATAATATGATTTAATGAGTATCAATTAATAAATATTTTCTCAAAATAATTATTTTTCATTTATTTATATTATATATATTATTAATAGAAAAATAATGGATTTGTAACTATACATATGGTATTACTAATACAATTATATATTGTTTATACGATGTTTGGACCTTATGCGTATAAATTATATATACTTTAAATAATAAATGAAAATATGATAAAAGAAATTTAATATTATCATTAATATTTTTACACAGTTGAAAATAAACAGAGAAATTTATTATCTATAATTTTGTATTTTTTCTTATTTA